CTTACAGTTTTCAAACATTTTTTTATTTATGATATTTAAAACTGTATTAAGAAAAAATACATTCCGTAAATGAGATAACAGAAAATAAAAACATGAAAACTCTTGTTGAGAAACTACCCACTGGTAGCACTCTAAAAAAAAAAATGTATTTACAATCGGAGATCTGGAAGCCATCTTCTTTTCAGACGCCTCGGAGGGTTAATAGGGATCGAGGAGGAAGCAAGTTTAGACACGAAAGGGTTCGGATGGTTCTGAAGTTTATTATGGAAGGATAGGTATCTGGATTGGGCCAATTCGGAAACATAAGGAACATTAAGGTCTTTATGGATGATTTTCTTAGTGACAAAGTAAGGAGCATTGAGGATTTTATGAAGGATTTTGGATTGTAAGGATTGGATGCGTGAGGAGTTAGATGGCTTTGTGGACCCCCAAATCTCAACTCCGTATGTCCAAATAGGTCTTATTGTAGTCATGTATATGAGTCTTTTGTAATTAACTGAAAGCTTAGAGCGTTTTTCAAAATTAAAATTACATTATTAAACTATTCTCATGTATTATCAAACTAGTTGATAAATATTATATTGTAAAAAATAATAATTTAGTCACAGCCCTATAAATTAACCTGTTTTTAATTATGTTATTGACAACCATTATTAACATAAATTATTTTCAAAGCACCAACTCATTGTTATTGCATCTCAATATATTATATTATAAAATTATTAATTTTTTTTTCATTGGTGCATGATTATTTCTTTGAGTGATCTGAGCTCAATTCTTAAACCATCACAAATATATTTTCTTTTTAAATTATAATGTTACTACAGCTACTAAATCGCAGCAAGGTTTATTAAAAAATTATTCCTAGAGGTATTGTTTTTTTAATTGCAATTTTGTTTTTCTTTCGGTGAAATTTTAATTGTACAAAAAATATATATAAATAAATAATAAAGCCCCCTCTTATAATGAAAAATGATATTTTTCTTGATCGATGAGAGCTACTTAGTTAAAAAAATATCAGTATATGATATCTTTAAATATAAACGAATGTCATCAGTGAGGCGTTTTTATTTTATTTATTATGATTTTATTTATCTATTTTTTTTAAATATAGGTTTCCTATATTCGAAATATTAATATATATATATATATATATATATATATATATATATATATATATATATATATATATATATATATATAATAGATATATAAATGTTCGCTAAATTTTCCAACATCTCTACTATGGACTACTACTGTATTAATATTTGAAGTTGATATAGTAAGACATTTTTTATGTCGATCACTCTTGTTTATACGGCACGTAAAGAGCTCTAGAAAAAATATTCTATTCTTATTAATACGTCAAACGTTCAAATTATTATTCATACAATCTCTGTTAATATTTAAAGGTATTTGTATGTAAATGTAAGTTTGAATTTAAATCTATTTTTTTTTTGTCAAATTAAATATGCGATACTGTTTTGATAAGGCTTATTTAATTGAGTACGTTTTTTTTTTTCGTTCATTTAATTTCATATGTAGGATTAAATCATTTCGTCGATTAAATAAAATGTCGGCAATTATTTATTTAACTGTGACCAGTTGTTCCAAAAAGTAACTTTTCAATTGAATCGTTTATTTTAAAATTATTTTGAATGTGAAACTTGATCATTATTAAAATTTTTTCATTAAACGCCATAAAACATATTATCTATTCCAATTTTAATTAAAAAAATAAATAAATTCTTAATAAAATAGGAAATAATTAAACTTCAAGACTCATTTTTGACTATAAAAAAGTTCATTGGGGTTTGTTTGGAATGAAGAAATGGCCTTTGTTTCGAGGTGGAAACGTTATTAAAAATGGACTTTAAAAAATTAACTTTTTGTTTACAATAACACAATAACCTTTTTTTTTTAACTTTTAGGTTTGTTATTAACAAGAAAAAATTGCGCTATCGGATTCATTGGGTGGTTTTACATGGAAATGATTTACGTATCTCAATTTCTGTAAAAAGCGATTAGGGAACATTTCGGAAATAAATGACTAGAATTTTTTTTAATTTTTTTTTGTTTATTTAGAAATATAACAATCTGTCACGTAGACAATAATTATAGTGATATATGATATAACAGATTCATATATTAACCAATACCAATGACTAGATTGTGATAGCCCATTATGCGTCATTGCATCTATTACATCAAGGTTAGGGCATCAGATTGATAATACGTATTTACAGTTACTTGAAGGATTTACAGTCCCTGAAATTGAATTAAAAAAAAATAACTCTCTAATCTAACATTCGCATGACAATGAGATACAGCTATGTTTGTTTGTCTGTTGGCGTTTTAAGGCGTAAAACATCAAGGTCACCAACGCCTGCAAATTAATCTTGATTATCTTTGGATTAAATTTTTATACAATTTTAAATTTTATTTAACAAATCGTTTGATTTTAAGAATTCTAACACTAATTTTATTATGTCTTCGTCGTCACTTAGAATGTTTGATATTGGAGGTGTAAGTCCTAGACTATTTAGATTTGATATTTAAAAAGAACATTCCTGTAACATGTGGCCGATTGTAAGTGGATTGTTGAAGTTTTGACATTGTGGTGGTGGCTGCTTGCTAATGAGATATGAATGGGTAAGATTGGTGTGACCTATTCTTAGTCTAGTTAAGACAACTTTTTCTCTGCGGATATGGCGATTCGATGTCGACCACGGCTGTACTGTTTTTTTAATTTGATTGGTGGACTCTCATTCCACATAGAATTCCAGCTATGAATTATTTCTTTTTTGAGAGGAAGACTTATATCTTGCGGTGGTAAAATGGCAGCGACCAGGCCTGGAAGGGTAAGCGCTTGTTTCCGCGAGGAGTAGTGTTGCCTAAATGCGAGACCGATACGAGTCTTTGTCTTGCTAACTCAGTCTTGGTCTTGTGCAAGAATCTCGCAACAGTCTTGCAGTTACTTATTAGCTTATTACTATAGAGATATTACTGTATATTTTTAGACAGGAGAAACCTAACTAACCCCGAATGAAAAATTAGAGGAGTTAAATGCAAAATTATATTGGTCATACCAATTATTAACATATAGTAACGAAGATTTTCAACTATTATTAACTATTTTGTCTTAATATTTATTTAAAAAATCGATTTTTTTACCAGTCCTGGTCTTGGTCTTGCAAAGTGCAAGACCAATACCGATGTTGGAAGCGAGGAGATACAGCAATGATAAATTCTTTCCCAACACGACCAGTTCAGTAAAGATCTAACCATTAAGAAAACATTTAAAAACTTTAATTAATGATTTTGAAATGGGCACTTTTTTACTTTGAAGCAAAAATAAACATATTGAACATATTATTGTTCTAAACCCTTTTATACCTCTTTACTACAATTAGCCGGTTATGTTTTGTTAGTTTTCCTGTAACAGGAAGCAATTTTTTATCATATTTATTGTTTTAAAAACTTTAAAAATAATGTTCGTGTCCATTATAATTAAATATAAATCAGTAAAAAACTCACCAAGAGACGGAAATCAAATGTTAGATTATAATTGGAAAAATTTCAATAACTTACCTTACATTCATCCTAAATGCGATTGAGTGTCATGGAATGGTGTGATCTTCGGTTTGCTTTCCTTTTTTATCCTGATGATTCCTGAATTGGCGAAAGGTTGATGGATTTTTTTTATATCCATATAATTGACTATATTTTTCCAACATGTCTACAATGGACTATCCTACTGTATTAATGTTTGCCATAGTTATAGCTATACATTTTTTATTTTGATAAGTTTTGTCGATACGGCACCTAAAGAACTCTAGTACTTGTGACGTCATTATAGATTGATAGATAGATAGAAAAAAAAACTTTATTCTGGGACTAAGTCCCTTCAGAATAACAATAATGTACAAAATAATAGAATATTACTGGCCTAAACGTTTGAAACAATAAATAAAATTGATAAAATAAAATAAAATAAAAAGTAAAGAAAACCTTAGGTACACAAGTTATATACAATACAGATAAGACTATGTACAGAGCATTTAAAATTATGAACAAAACAATTAAAACTATGAACGAATCACTTGAACTATGAACAAAATTATATATAAGGGTTTGAACAACATAAACATACCCTTTGAGAAATGAAGAACGAAAAAGAGATACAATGAGTTCATTTCATAAAATAAAAAAAACTTTACTTGAATATATATATATAAAATAAACAGTTAATTATAATTGAATAAAAAAAAAAAATGTATGTATTGAAATTCCTATGTCGATAGTAGGAAATGCATGTACTATCTCTTACCAAGTATTATGATTATATGATTGCTACTCAATACATATATAATATTAATAGTTAGCTGGTATCTGACTGTTTTTGGAACAGGAATTGGAATAGGAGGTCTTTGAATGTGTAATTATACAATAGAAGTACTAAACAAGTACCAAAAATCTAGGACGGAGTATTCACTGGAATCGTGAACGGGCGAATGAAGGACCGGTTTTGCCCGAAAGGTACATTTGGACTCAATGTGCATCCCCTGGAGTCGCTCCAATTCGACCGAACGACGAACCGAAGTTACCAATTTGCCGAGTGTTACGACCAGATTCACTCGCCTATGATAATTTTTAACACTCATTTTCCAGAAGACGTACATTGAATTTATGTTTCTTGGTGAGTTTTTTTACTGATATAACATACGTTTTATGTAATTTTCCACTCTCTGGATTACTTCTGCTGTACAGTCCACTGTGGGTGCAGTCGACGATCTCCAAGGCTTTTCCTTTTTTGTGGATCATTCGGCCGCTCAGCGGGGACCCCCAGTCTAGTACATATTTTGATACCAAACTTTTAATCTTGATACTTTGGAACATCAGTTGTAAATCAGTAGAGATATAGACATAACAGTTTGCGTCAGTATTATGACTTAAATACTCTTAGAGGAGACAATGAAAAACCGTTTCTATACCGTGCCCTATCGGTGGATGAGAGGATGGAGGAACGGAATGAGAGAATGAGAGGCTGAGGGCAAGGGGATCAGCAGAGAGCGAGGACCTTTGTTTTTTACTGTCTCATTACAGGGGAAGGCTCGGGCCGTATATCTTACCTCCTTGGAACGATAAATCCACTCCGGAGACAATGCCTACATCCTAGGCTACGTTAAACAATTAAGATTATCTAGAGATTTATTCCCGCACCCCCACCGAATCTGAAATTCTATAAAATTATGTACCGTCATAAATTGTAGCGGGTCCCCAGGTACCTCCTATCTGCCCAATCAGAGTTGACAATAAAACGCCATACCTTCTCGGCAACGACTTTTATGAGCATTTCCCCCCAGAAATGAACTTCTCCTTTGTTTATGTTATGCGGCCTATAAAGATGGTAAAAGCTCGGATGAGAAGAATGCTTGGCACGCTTCCGACCTTTTATGTTGACAAGTTTTTCATGTTCTAACATGAGAGCCCTCTTGTTCGGGACTTTCATAACTTTTGAATTTTTATCGCATATTTATTTCTTTATTTTACTTTTGGCTCACAAGATCCAAAGCACGTATTTAAAATTTGATTCAGGGTTGATCAGGCCTTGTCCGCGCTGCAGACCTCTTTTTATCAAATTATGACCATCGGTCTAAAACTTCGCATCTTATAATTCTCTACAAGTTTTTTATTTACGAAAATTCTCAAAAATGGGGTGTTTTCAATCTCAATATTGTCAAATTTTGCCTATTTGATTGGGTACTAAAAACGGTGGCCTACAAAAATGACGCACTGTTTGATGCGACCTCCTCATCCTCCAATATGTCATAATAACGAGTTTACGGCCCAATATTTTTATAGGTTTTGTTTTTCTCGATTTTTTTATCAAATTACCTTACGATTCAAGTTTAAAGGAAATTCATGAGCTTTTTATACCTCATCACATTTATTTATTAGCGAGGTAAAGCTCAATTTTCGTATATTGATATCCTGTCACCAAAAACTACCCGTGTTTTCAACTAAAACGACAACATTAAATTATTAAAAAGCTTTAATTTATTTTTCCATCACTTAGGATTTATTATAATAAACAAAAATGCATAAATACACTTTTTAATTATTTAAAAAAAATGTTACAAATTTGATTTTTCGAATATTTTCCATCTAAAGTGATAGTGTAACTGTGTTTTAGTGTATATAGGTATGTGTTCTTTTTTATTTTTAGATTATTTTATTCTTATTTGTTGTATATATATTATTTTTCAGTATAATTTATTTTTATTTATTGTACAAGAGTGTGAAAGTGATCTCTAAACACTATTATAAATGTCCTTTGAGACAAAGTAATATTTTTTTCAATAAACAAGTTAATACTAAAAAACAAAAACGTTTTTTTGTAGTTCTTGAGGTTTGCTATAACCCTTTTAAATACTTCCCACTGCTTGTGGGATACCCTGTTTAGACATCCCTCCGAAAAATCAAGTTAAAGTTGAAAGTTATAACGAAAAGCAATTTATCTGTACATAACGTTAAGTAACTATACAACTGTTCATAATTCTATGTAATGATTGATTAGTGATTATCTTTTTTCTTACACTTTCTCTATCTAAAAAACAAAACAATATTTTATGATTGTGTGTATTTGTTACAGTAATTCAAAAACTGTACAAATCTCGAACATTCTATATGTTCAAAGATTATTAAATTTGTCATACTTATGTTAGCGTAATTTAAAAAAAAATAATAAAATGTTTTTTTAATTGGACTTTACTCCCCAAGCGGTAAAGTAAGTCAGTGTGAGTGGTCACATCAGATATTGTATCTATTCGTTTTTTTATTCAGCGCAATGGTGTGCTCATATTTTCGGCCAGTGTAAAAACTACTTCATGGCAGCCGGGAAGAATTTTCATGCCAGGCCCGTTGGTGTATTTTTTTCTCCCCGTGACAGGTTTTTTGGACTTTATTGCGCAAGATTCCAAAAAGGTGGGCGTCTTTTTCAATATGTTATACATTTCTGACACATTCCGTTCGCCGGTCGCATTCCGCGTTTTTATCCCGTCATTTCTTGGGACGATATTTATCGTCGTAGGGTGTGTAAATTTTATATATATTTTTTCCTCTGTGTTATTAGACCCGGAAGTCGTTAATGGATTGATACTCGAATTTATATGGACTGATTTTTGGTATATGTTCGACGTATATTTGTGTATTGATGAAAAGGAAAACTGTATAATTATCACATTTTTTACACGATATATATAATTTTATCTTTTGGTATTGTAATTGACTTGGTCAATGATTGAGCTCCCATAATTAGTTCAGGATTAAAAAAATAAGTGATACATTTATCAATATTATGCAACGATATAAAAAAAAAAAAAATGCTCGTTCAGGTAATTATTTCTTTTTACTTTCACTTACAAAATATGGTAAGGGACAGTATTGCGATCGTGAAAATTTTCGAATCTGAATTTTCAACGGAAATATATGTTTTGAGGTCTCCTGAGTCCAAATAACCAAGTCCCGCAAAATGGTGTGTGTGTGACCAGTCTAGCTGAAAAACGAAAAGTCGTATGAAAAAAATAACCAAGAAATAAAGTGCTTCAAAAATCAGTCGAAATCCTATTTTTATGTTAATATCCATTATAAGAAGCAATGTAACATGAAAAGAGATTTCATTGGTTAAGTGAAATTATCAGTGATGACGTTTTACCGATAGCAACGCTTAGGGAACGGATCTAGAAGCATGCAATCTCCTCATTAAAACTCACCTTTTTTCAACAATGGGCTAAATACTTTCAAAAAAGCTTTCTAATAAAACTTATTCTCAAGTTTAATATCATGAGTTCATGAAGATATCTTGTACGAATTATCCCAAATTTATAAAAAGAGTAATCATAATAAACATCTGTATTGAATCCAAATAAATACCAGAAATGTACTTCGTTTCAGTAATGATTTAAATTAAAAATAAAACAACAAAAATCATCAGAATGTATCTGGTAGTATTTTTTTTTGTTTACTCTAATTAACCGCAGTAAGAAGATCAATATTTAAACAAAAAAAAAATATTGCTTTATAAAATATTAATGAATGGTGTAACAACAAAAATAAGGGTGAAAATAATCAGGATGAAAAGTAATTGTTGTTGTTTATATTATAAACAACATAATATAATAATAATTTGTTCTATACATTATGTTGATGGCGACCCTTTTGAAGAGCTAAAACCAAATTACTTACTTACTAATAAAGATATAATTCTCGAAAAAGTGAAAAATCATCTCTACTCTATAGATATTGATAGAGCTCTCAACTCTAAATACAACCCACTTTACAGAACTGTTTGTAGCTTTAACAGCCCTCAGCCGCAAGAATATTTAACTTATCATGTAAATATAAACAAACTGAAACTAGTTAGCCAATTAAGAATTTCAAATACGGAAAAGCTGAAACTTTTTCATAAAAATACCACTTTGATTATAAAAGTGGGGGAAAAATATGGATGGTGTCAAGAACATATCACCCAAAACATAGAACACCTGCTATTGCAATGCCCCAGACTAAGTATTGATAGGGAAAAATACCTAGGAGATTATATTGTCTAAAACAATAAACAATTTTTGGAAAATCTTCTAAATATTGATAGTGCGGACAAACTAAATAACATCTATTTCTTTTTGTTAAAAACTATATATAGGTATTTAGAGCAAGGACTATATTATATTATTTTAGGAATAACCATTTAATTATTTATATGTATTCTAGCTTTGAGAATAACTATTTAGTGTAGTTCTATTTATGTAGTATTCGGAATGAAAAGGAGAGGGAGAGAGGGAAATGGAAGAAAAAAAAGTCTAATTCGATATATTATTGAATCATTAATTAATTTCCAGATATACACTTTTTTATATTGTTTTGGGTTTTAGAAATAATTATCCATTTGTTTATTTATTCTATTTACTTAATGGGGATATATATATATATATATATATATATATATATATATATATATATATATACATATTTTATTTTATTTTTTTTTTGTTTTTTTCTCTTTCAATTCGTTGTATTATTGGATTATATTGGGAGGTTATAATAAGCAATAGGAATTTACATATGTATACGTATTTATATCTTTATTTATTTATGCTTTCATTGTCATTCAATACTAACAACTATTAACACCAAATGGGCCAAACTCCATGGCTAAAAGATCTACATAATAGCCAATAAACTATCTATCTATCTAATTTGTTCCATCCACTAACGCTGATTTTTCATCGATTTAAAAAATATATTCCGAATTCTTAAAAATAAATTGTAATCTTCTTTCTACAAAAATCGATATTCTCAGCAATTATTTTTTCTTATTATTTGAAAATTAATACATTATGCCGCATTGGAGGGCATTAATATTAGGGCTACATTAAACATTCACACAATATATACATACAAATGATAACTAAAATAGAGATAAAAGAAAAAGAGTTGTAGAAAGTAAAATAAGAAAATTAACATACATATGTAAAAAAGAAAAAAAAATAGAGAGAAACTAAATGAAATTGAAAATATATAAAACACATTCACACCTATATACAATATTTGCAATTTGCACAGAGGATTCTGCGTGATGCTTTGTTCCCCAAATGTGGAAGCCAAGGCAGTACCCCAGGAGATCCCAGTGCTTCTTTCCCAGCCGCGTCACTGATATTCCCAGCAAATAATAAGCGTTATTTACCATTATTTTTAGAGTTGGACATTGTTTTCAACTTGCATAAGATCGGAAAAAAAAAACAGCAAACGTAGACATAATTAGTAACTGCTTGAGTTATAAAGTTGCCGGCCGGTTTCCAGGGACAGAAATATAACTTGAAGTGCTGAGAGGGAACCCGACTGGTCGTGTATTAGGGACTGTGGCGTGATCTTTTGGAGACACGATGCTCAGAGACGAAGACAGGGCGTTTGTTTGAGTATCGATGGCAGGCTGATTGTTTATGTAAATGTTGCCGAGGCCTGAGGAGACAGTCGGTTTTTTAATAATCGGTTTGTTATGTGGCCCCTGAGGAGCCCGCGGTTGCGTGCCGAGCTTGCCTAGATTTATATCATTAACCGGCCCAATAATGAATCAAAACAAAACAACAACGCTTTAAGGGCCCTTTCCGACGATAAATAAAACCGACTCAAAGCGAGTACCGCCGCCTATCCGCTCGCTCCATTCGGATTGTTCACGGAGGAGGGTAATGCTCAAAGGGGTTCTGGCGTCCAATGCCTTTTGTCGGCGTATTCTCCTTAGTTGGACAGTTAAGTATCCGACTAGTTGCCCACATCTACTCCGCGATTAGCACTCTGTAGATATTTCGTAGCATTCAGCAGATCTTTCATACAAAGTACATATAGGTTGTTACGGTCTTTAATTTAGAAGAATTGTTTCCGCAACAAATTTGGCAGATGCTCAGTGGAGACGGTAGGGTTCGCAAAAAAAAAAAAAAAAAAAAAAAAAAAAAA